ATTATTGTTTATTTATGAAAATCTTAAATCCCTTGGTTCTTTCATTTCAAATCCACGTATGTTTGTTCTGAATAGGAAAAATTGCTGAAATGTGTGGAACTGTGTGTAATCTACCTATCTTTGTTCATTCTACATTATTTCGCTCCCTAGTCAGTACCAACTTTTTCAAAGAATTAATGGCCAGGAACACATCTACTTCATTAATTTTAAAACTATTATTTACATTAAATATATAGAAACTCTTCAGTATATTCCCCCAGTGTTATAGCAAAATAGTCATTGTTATTTCAACAGTGGAAGAATATGCAGAAGAATGTCTGTGGATACAGAGAGAGAATCTGCATCCCTTCCCCTCTGCAGCCTATTCTCAGTATAGGTTCATACTGCCTAACATAAAGTGAAGCCAAACTCTCATGCATTATGCCCTTTCCCTATTTCCCCACAACACTTTGAGACAAATTAAAGTTGGCAGAAGTTTTATGGCTGGCATATATCTGTTGACCAACAGAAGTCTACTGGACTGTTGTGGGACAATCCTATATTCTCAGTTGGATCCATCTCATAGGTTATTGTGGGGATGAAGTAGAAAGAATAAGAAGTCATGTACATTGGAAGACAGAAAGGATGTGCATGTAAGAAACAACCAGACAAGCAATGCAGGTTACCCTTATTTCCTAAGAAATCAAACCAATTTGTGATGCTAGATGAAAAATTCCTGGATATTTCAATCACAACTCTAGTAAGACTGAATGTATGGGGAAGGAGTTATCCAATAAGGTGTTTCCCTCCCAATCCTCAGCCTTTAATTCAGAAACATTCATGAAGCACTGCTCCCTATTTCTCTCCATTCAGAAATCATGGTGATCTGCACAAACCAGAGTTCAGGCATCAAATTCATGCTTACGTCCACAGAGCAGTCAGCTAAATATCTGGTTATCATTTCGCAAGGCAGTTATGCAAAATACGGATGTATACATTTTGTGGGCCAAAAATATATTCTACAGCTCATGGAGTATAATAGCAGCCTACTCAACCATATGAGCTATTCTAATCTATTTAGATTTGTTATTTTAGAAAATGGGTGCAAAGCTATTTTGGAAGTGACAAATTACAGAACAATCTCAATCACAGGATGGAGACTATGAGGAAGAAAGATTTCATGTTTAGAAAAAAGAGCCAACTGGACAGCCAGATAAATACTTTACTAATCTCACTAAACCTATACACAATGGTCATTCCATACAGGTCAATCCCATGAGAGAATGTATATCACTTTCCCTGTTTCCTCAGAATATACAAACCATTACTTTTTTTCTTTGCAGATTTGTAGCAGTTCCATCAGGTCAAATTTGTTCAAGGAACCACATAAGCCATTGAGCAGAGGTAGTTTCAGATTATGTTTCGCTACCAATTCAGTGACACTTCCACTGGGATATACTGAAGCTTATGCCCTTTGAGTGGCAGAATTCATCTTTCCATGAATATTTTGTTTGCTCTTTTTCGCCAAGCATTGAGTGACAGATATTGTCAATGTCAACTGTGCATAACCAGACTATCAATAATCTCCTTGCTTAGTCATACTAAGGAAAGCATAAATGGTACAAAATGTGAAAAAGTCTGAGTTGATGGAAATGTCACAGATGAACAAGTCAGGAAGACGGTATGCCATGAGTTTTGTATTTCATTTTTGGGTCTCAGAACTTTGCATTAAAGACTGTGATTTACAATTTCCTGGATATACGGAATGCTGTAACATATTCATGATCGTTTCAAGGTCACATTAGAACTCTGGGAAAATACAAAGATATGTGTCATAATTTTACTTAATGCAAAATATAGGAGGAGATAAATACTCACCTGATATATACATGAAATCTTATGGAATTTGTTTTCATTTTCATTTTATTTTTAAAAGGTGTTGGTGCTGTTTTTTACCCATGCTGTAGATCAGCATTTCTCAACCTGGGGGACGGGACCCCTGAGGGTGTCATGAGGGGGTGTCAGAGGGGTCGCCAAAGACCATCAGGAAACACAGTGTTTTCTGTTGCTCATGGGGGTTCTGTGTGGGAAGTTTGACGCAATTCAATCATTGGTGGGGTTCAGAATGCTCTTTGATTGTAGGTGAACTATACATTCCAGCAACTACAACTCCCAAATGTCAAGGTCTATTTTTCCCCAGACTTCACCAGTGTTCACATTTGAGCATATTGAGTATTCCTGCCAAGTTTGGTCCAGATCCATCATTGCTTAAGTCCACAGTGCTCTCTGGATGTAGGTGAACTACAACTCTAAAACTCTAGGTCATTGAGCACCAAACCCTTCCAGTATTTTCTGTTGGTCATAGGAGTACTGTGTGCCAAGTTTGGTTCAATTCCATCATTCGTGGAGTTCAGAATGTTCTTTGATTGTAGGTTTATAAATCCCAGCAACTACAACTCCCAAATGACAAAATCACCCCCCCCCCACCCCCCCCCAAACCCCACCAGTATTCCAATTTGGGCATATCGGGTATTTGTGCCAAATTTGGTTCAGTGAATGAAAATACATCTTGTATATCAGATATTTACTTTACAATTCATAACATTAGCAAAGTTACAGTTATGAAGTAGCAACTAAAATAATTGTATGGTTGGGGGTCATCACAACACGAGGAAGGTTGCAGCATTAGGAAAATTGAGAAACACTCCTGTAGATGATGAGCAGCATACACTTGAGAGAGATTATTAGCCTGCACGTATTGGCCAGCAAAGTAACATTTAAATTAATTAATTATGTTTATTTGCATAAATAGATTGTTTTCTATGTATTTTAAAATCACTTGATAGCTGTTTGTATCTTATAAGGTTTTATTTAACTGGGAATTCTGCTGCTGTTCTTCTCATTGGATTATCAAGCTATTGGCACACAATGGTAGAAAATATAATTGGAATTTTTGATAATACCCACTCAATTATACATTTGTAAATAAATATGATAAATACTGCATATTTATCTTCTCCTTGACTACAGTTTGTCACAGGTTTGTTCTGTTGTCACAAACAGATCTACAGCATGAAGGAAAGGTGACCACAATTGACCAAGATAATGGATGGTTATAATTAATGGATTATTTTCAGTGTGAAAAATCACATTTTCGAAGTCTTGGAGAGCAGCAACATAATGTAGCAATAAGGCTGAGGCAAAATTGCTATGACAGTACAAGATCATGGCATGATAACACCTATAGAAAAGGGAGATTAGAGGGTGCCCTTTTGCAGCTGACAGATAGTAATTTTGTCAATGCCGATTGTGTTTAAGTGCAGGCCAAGGTCTTTAGGCACTGCACCCTGTATGCCAATCACTATTGGGACCACCTTTACTGGCTTGTGCCAGTCTTTGCAATTTAATCTTTAAATCCTCATATCATGTCAGCTTTTCCAGTTTCTTCTCATCAATCCTGCTGTTGCCTGGGATTGCAACGTTGACGATCCATACTTTGTTTTTTAACAGATCGTGAGGTCAGGAGTATTGTGCTCCACAACTCTGTCTGTCTGAATTTAGAAGTTCCAGAGTAGTTTGACGTGTTCATTTTTTGTAACTTGCGATCCCACCAGTTCTTTGTCACAGGTAGATGGTATTTGCGGCACAAGTTCCAATGGATCATCTGAGCAACAACATTATGCCTCTGTTTGTAGTCTGTCTGTGGGATCTTCTTGCAGCAGCTGAGGATGTGATCCATTACGTCTGCTTCCTTGCAGAGTCTATATTTGAAATCTGTCACGGACTTTGATGGCATTGGTTCTAATGTGCTTGTTCTTGGGCTGCCAGAATCAGGCCCTCCGTTTCCTTTTTCAGAGTTCCATTTGTGAGCCACAGCCATGTTTTTTCTTTGTCAATTTGGCTCTCAATTTTTGCCAGAAACTATCCATGGAGAGCCTTCTTTTGCCAGTTTTCTCTTCTGCTCTGGATTGTGTTTTTATGGTATTTGCTCTTTGTATTTTGCGCTTTAAGCAGTTTACTACTATTGATTTCCCTCAATGTTGGTTCTTGACTGCCTTTCACATAATCTGCGTGTTTCTCTCCTTCTACCATTTGTTTCACTTGCAGAAGTCCTTTGCCACCTGATTCTCTGGGCAGGTAAAGTCTGTCGACATCACTATGTGGGTGTAATGAATAGTGGATTGTCATCAGTTTTCTTGTTTTTCTGTCCAGATCATCCAGCTCTGCTTGTGTCCAGTTTAGTGTATCTAATGACGGGGATGGTCCAGGTGTTGAGAGCCTTGATCGTATTTCCGCCATTTAATTTGCTCTTCAAAACCTTTCTGATTCTTTGGATATATTCTTTGCTGACCACATTTTTCACCTGCCCATGCTTGACGTTGTCCAACTGTAGTATGCCCAGATATATATAGGCTTCAGGCTGATTGCACTTTATGGTTTGTTCGTTTGACATCTCTATGCCCTCGCTATGAGTAATTTTCCCTTTCTTTAATGCCACCGTGGCACATTTGTCTAGGCCAAACTCCATACTGATGTCAGTGCTGAAGATTCTGACTGTGTTGGTCAGTGACTCTATTATTATTATTATTATTACTATATTAAAACCCCATAAAATGCAAATTGGAGAGGAAGTTTAGACCAGTGGGCCTTGTAAATCAGCCAAGTGCATTTGCTATGAAATGCTAAAGACCTTGTAAAAGTCAACTCCCCTGATTCCATAGCGTTGAGACATGCAAATTAAAGTGACGTCGAACTGCATGCAAGCTATAGTGCAAATACACCCTTAGAAGCGCATCTACAGGCAGGAAGGGCCATCCCACCTAGTTGTTGCTTGTGATCTGCTCAACTTCCCCCTTCTTAAAGTGACAGGCGCCCTTTTTCTCCCCCGCCTCCTGGGCACGGTAGGCGTCTCGGCCGAAGTGCGCCATGCGTGAAGAAAGTGCAGCTCTCCCTCTGGGCCGCTAGGGGCCGCTGGCGGTCCCGGCGCCTCTTCGCCTCGCCGCCGCCGCCTCCTTGGCCACGCCCCCTCTCCGCCTTCCCAGGCTCCTCTTCGGGTAAACAGCGATGGCTGCGGATGAAGGAGGAGGCGGAGAACAGGAGAACAACATGGGGAACCACTTGCAGCTCATTCCCGGTAAGGGCCCCTCCTGGGAAAAAGGAGGAGGCCAGCAAGGGTCTTTCTTGGGGCGGGGGGCTAGCCAAGAGGGAAAGGCGTGGGAGGGAAAGGCGAAGGAGGCGCCTTTCTGGGAAACTGAGGAGGGGAGAGGCCTGAGGAAGAAGCCACCGTAGTAGTAGTAGTAGTAGTGAGAATAACTGGAGAATCGGGGGAAGGCACCATGGGCTGGAAGAAGCTATGGAAAGGGGGAGCAGCCATAGAAAAAGAGGGGAAGCCATAATTAAAAGCATAATAAGAATAAGAATAAGAATTGGAACTGGAAAGCTGACACAATATGAGGATTTAAAGATCGAACTGCAAAGACTGGCACAAGCCAGTCAAGGTGGTCCCAGTGGTGATTGGCACACTGGGTGCAGTGTCTAAAGACCTTGGCCTGCACTTAAACACAATCAGCGCTGACAAAATTACCATCTGCTAGCTGCAGAAGGCCACCTTACTGGGATCTACGTGCATTATTTGGCGATACATCACACAGTCCTAGACACTTGGGAAGTGTCTGACAGAGGCTGGATGGCCATCTGTCAGGGGTGATTGAATGCAGTATTCCTGCTTCTTGGCAGGGGGTTGGACTGGATGGCCCATGAGGTCCCTTCCAACTCTTTGATTCTATGATTGAATACAACAGAAGAGTGATCTTGTCTGTTGTGCACTCATCGTGTTTCTAATAATAATAATAATAATAATAATATAGTAATAGTGGGCTGGGAAGGTAGAAGGAAGAGAATAAGGAGGGGAGCAAAGGAGAAAAGACATGGTGAGGGGGAATAAGGAGGAAAGACATGGGGTAGAAGAAGCCATGGGAACGAGGTTGTTGTAGATTTTTCGGGCTATATGGCCATGTTCTAGAAGCATTCTCTCCTGATGTTTCACCTGCATCTATGGCAGGCATCCTCAGAGGTTGTGAGGTCTGTTTATATATCTGTGGAATGTCCAAGGTGAGAGAAAGAACTCTTGTCTCTTTGAGGTAAGTGTGATATACAACACTCAGAAAACAGGGGAACTCCAGACAGGAAGACAATCAGGGCCTGCAAACACCTCCCAACAAAGGATTTCCCCAGGCAGGCGGCAGGCAGGCTTTGAAGCTGCAAGGCTATTCAGTGATAATCAGACTGGCCAATTGCAACATTCACACTTGCCTCAAGAAGACAAGAATTCTTTCTCCCACCCTGGACATTCCACAGATACATAAACCCCACTTGCCTAGTTTCCAACAGACCTCACAACTTTAAAGTGACTCCGTGAGTTTCATAGGGTTTTGTTATGTAAGGAATACTCGAAGATGCTCTCTCCAGTTCCTTCCCCTGAAATACAGGCTACGACACCTGATATTCATTGGTGGTCTGCCATCAAAGTACTAACCAGGACTGATACTGTTTAGCAGCAAAGAGCAGACAGGATCTTGTACTTTTAGGGTGTTTAGGACCCATTGTTTTCAGTGTTCTTAAAGGTATTGGAATTCCATTTTTTTGTTTCATGAGGAATCCAGTGCCTGGTGCCTTGTAAGATGAAGGAATCCTGTGTAGGAATTTAAGTTTTCCAACAGAAAGGGAGGCATAAGGATTTGATTTACTGGTGGAATCTGGGATATAGAATTGGAACTCTAAGATTGGGAACTTGGAAGTAAGAGCAAGAGAAGAATGCATTATTTGAGGGATGGCTCAAAAAAGGAATCATAATAGGCAAAATTGCCTGTGATAAGAACTAAAGTGTAGGCCTGGGGTGTAAGCTGTTAGGAAATAAGGAATTGAAGGAAGGAAGAAATATGTGGGGAAGTGTAAGGTAGTCTAAATTCCCTAAAGCAGTGGTTCCCAACCATTGGCCCACCAGTTGTTTTTGATTTCAACTCACAGAAATCCCAGCCATCTTGCCATCTTATAGGAATTGTGGGAGCTGGAGTCCAAAACACCTGGAGAACCAAAGGTTGGGAACCACTTCCTTAAAGGCACAAATTCCTGTCTGATTTTGGAAGCTAAGCAGACTCAGCCATGGTTAATACTTGGATGGAGAACTGCCAGCAAATAACTTGTGCTTTAGGTTATATCACAGAAGAAATAACTAACTAGCAAAATCAACTCTGAGTATCCTTGCCTAAGAAAATCTTATGAAATTTTTGGGCCACCACCACAAATTGTCAGGTGACTTGAAGGCAATGAACGGGAAGGCACCAATACTAAAAGCTGCTTTTCAGGAACAGGCCAAATGAATGTGCAGTCCTTCTGTGTTAAGCAGTGGTCAGTCTGATATTTCCAAATGAGAATATCTAGCTTCCAGTACTGAATGAAGAAATAGACTTCTATATCAAGACTCATCATTGTGATTTTGATCCGTGGCTGATAGGTCCAATTCTTCTTTAAGACTACTGAGGCTCCTAACCAATCAATATAGCTGCAATCTATATCCTCAGATGAATAGTCCTCTGAATATGGACATACCACTTAGTTGGCACAAACCAACTTGCAACTAGGTCTTAAATGTTGCCAAAAAGTTGCCTTTGCACGATAGTAAATAATTGTCAGTTTGTTTTTTCCATGCTAGCTTCAAAGTAAGCAATTTTGCATTGTCTGTAGCCAATATATAAGTCTAAATGGTTTGTGGAAGTTAAGGGAAGCAATCCTTTTCTCTTTCACCAATCCACTCTCCTTCATATGATCCCTCATCACCTAAGGTGAGTTGCTAAATACAAGGCTGACTTAAACCATCCTTAAATTTGCCATGTCCCTTTTAAGAGTGTATGAAGTCATCTAAAAATTAAGAGAAGCTGTATATCAGCAAATCTGGAGGCATGCAAGGTTTTTAAAATCAATTGAGAGAAGCCGAGTTGGATAATTATTCTAAAGCAGTGATTCCCAACTTTAGGTTCTTGCGGGTATTTTCGGGCTATAGAGCCATGTTCTAGAGGCATTTCTCCTGACGTTTCGCCTGCATCTATGGCAAGCATCCTCAGAGGTGTGAGGTCTGTTGGAATTAGGACAATGGGTTTATATATCTGTGGAATGGCTGGGGTGGGGCAAGGAGCTCTTCCTGCTGCAGTTAGGTGTGAATGTTTAGCTGATCACCTTCATTAGCATTTGAAGGCCTGCCTGAGCCTGGGAAAATCTGTTGCTGGGAGGTGTTAATCTGTGCCTGGTTTTTTTCCTCTCTGTTGTTTAGCTGTTATAATTTTAGAGTTTTTTAATACTGGTAGCCAGATTTTGTTCATTTTCATGGTCTCTTCCTTTCTGTTGAAATTGTCCACATGCTTGTGGATTTCAATGGCTCCTCTGTGTAGTCTGACATGGTGGTTGTTGGTGTGGTCCAGCATTTCTGTGTTCTCAAATAATATGCTGTGTCTAGGCTGGTTCATCAAGTGCTCTACTATGGCTGACTTTCTGGTTGAGTTAGTCTGCAGTGCCTTTCATGTTCCTTGATGCGTGTCTGGGCGTTGCGTTTGGTGGTCCCTATGTAGACTTGTCCACAGCTGCATGGTATACGGTAGACTCCTGCAGAGGTGCGAGGATCCCTCTTGTCCTTTGCTGAAATCACAACTGCTTCAATGCCTTAATGCACAACTTAATGGGATATTTGCCTTAAAACAGTGATTCCCAACTTTTTTTTTGACCAGGGACCACTCCCCAACATTAGTACCAAAAGGATTATGAAACAGTTTTTGGTCAACGTTAAGTTCAGTTTGGTTATTTCGGGTGCTGATTCAGAAAACTGCATTGGATCAGCTCTAGTTTCTGATACAGAACACATGCCATCCAGTTGTCACCATCTTCTCACCCACAGAAATTTAATTTCTGTGGGTGAGATTTAGATATTTAATAATCTAGAGCTGATGTACTAGTAGTAATCTTTTATGGGTTATCAGCCTCTCCTCTTCCAACATCCCTGTTGCCTCAGCACTATAAGAGGGTTTCGTGAGACCAGTCACTCTCGTTGCCGTGTGGTTTTGAGGCAACAGTGTAATAATGGTGAAGCCTTAGACCATATTTTCGTTCTTGTGGGCCACTTGTGGTTCACAGGCCACAGGTTGGGAACCACTGTTCTAAAGGATTAGGCAGAAGGCAGCATTTTGGGATTTTATAAAATCTTCTTCACCTACTATAGGTTCTTGTAGGTTTTTTCGGGCTATAGGGCCATGTTCTAGAGGCATTTCTCCTGACGTTTTGCCTGACGTTTCAACGTTCTTCACCTACTGTTGCATGACCAAATTGAATACTCTCCAAGATAGTCCCATTGCTTTTTATAAACA